AAAATTTAACTTGATTGGAGTATTTTTAACCCCCAGTCTGCAAGGTTGTTTTGGGGGTGGTTTTTAAGGGTTTCTCCGAACGGGTTGAAATTTTGTACCAACAATCTTCGTATTGAGAAATAAGCAAATGTTGAGTTTCAACTTGATTGGAGCATTTTTAACCCCCAGTCTGCAAGATAAACTGTGGTCTGCAAATTAGACAGGCCCTATTATATCTGTACAAGTTTGGAATCGATATGGCCAGTTGTTTAGAATATGCAAATATGCTTTTGTTCGTATTTACAATTATTACGAAACAGGTTATCAAATAATCTATTTTCACATGGCGAGACTTTCAAGCGGCCGAAGAATTAAAAACCATAAATTTTCATTGAAGAAACAAACTCTTCCAAGAAAATTACCAAATCTTTTAGTTTACGCACTATTGGACGAGCACTCCTTAAAACGGTCAGTATACCTAATCGCATTATTCCATTGATACCTACCTACCGAAAACGTTTCCAGATGAGCCTAACACAAATTTGCGGATATTTCTCATCAACCAGATATTATTTCATTTAGAAGTTTCTGGTAAATAAATGGGATTATTGTAATGAACATATAAAACAAATAAATTGTGATTATTATTTGTTGTTTTAACCCATTAGACGCTTATAGGCTTATAAGCATACTTTTCTTGAAAAATCGGTAATAAATTCAGTGAAACATCTTTGTGCCTTAATTCCTATTGGTAAACTGGGATTTTGAATAGAGGTCGCAGGAAAATTTTGTATGGTTTTATGGTTTATTTACATAATTTTCTTATTTACAATGAATGTTTTTGATATATAATACAAGTTCTTGATATTATTTATTTTAATTACATTTAATAAACCATAAAACCACAAAAATCTTTTTTTAACACAAATTATATTTCAATAAATTTTCAGTAGCGAATTATTATCGATACACTTAATTGTATTTACCGTCGTCTTCGTTGATTCACTATTAAAGTCTCTCCAATTGGTTACAATCGTCCGACTTGTCAAAAGGGAAAATATCAAAAGATGTCACCCCCTTCAGGAGTTACAGGAACCTGTAATTAATCCGTTTTGTCGCGCGCCAAAACAGTTTGTGCTTGAATTGATATTATCAAAATGTCCAAAAAATATTGCTCTGTGCCTGCTTGTGGGGTAATCAAGGATCCTAGAGACCACAAAATAATGCAGATTCCCTTCAAACACTGTGAACAAAAGGTTGTGGTGCAAAAAGGTTTTTAATGCTACAAGTAGGTACCCCAACATGAATCTTTTACCTAAGGGAATGTATAGCCATTAAAACCATTTCAGGTGATAATATTGCCAATAATTTATACATTTGTGGTAAACACTTTGAGAGAAGTTGTTATTACACAAATAAAAGACTTAAACCCGGCTCTGTTCCTACTTTGTTCCTCCATGGTTCCAAGTCACCGCTACCTGTTCCTACTTCTTCAAGCTCCCCAGCAAGTACTAAACGTGATCCAGAATGCAGCTTCATAATTCCTGAGACACATTCCGATAACAATGTAAACACCTCAAAGAAAAACTTTCCTACTGCATATCCCTTTGCAGACCATCCACACCCATGGCGTTGTGACTTTGGCACCGGTACCGAAATTTTGTCTCTTTTTCAAGTAAAAACTGAAATACATGACGTCAAATTGTGTCAAAAAGTCAGACCACGACAGACATTTAGCCGACATTACAGATTCCTTTCCCTCCCGACGTATGCTCCCTCACATGTCACATTTAAGGGATTGGAGAGACTTTAATAGTGAATCAACGAAGACGACGGTATTTACATCATAAAATTTATTTATTTTACTTCATACTATGTCAAGTTTGACGTTTTACTGGATCGAACTATTCCGATAAAATTGAGCCAAAAACACGGAGGTAGAAGAGACACTCTTCTACCTCCGTGGCCAAAAAGGACAAGTCTTCCATTTCCGGAAGCGGCCACTGACCCTTTTGGGTCTCTTTTGCTTTACCTATTATTGTAAAAACAAATGTAAATTTAGTACTTCTGTAACCGTCCTGTATTAAACATCGAAACCGAACGCTATCTATTATCTCGCACGCAAGAAAACAAAGGTCCTTGGAGCAATATCAAAGTACAATTCGGTATCACATTGTCGTATCAACCAGATTACAAAAAATACTGGTAGGACGAGCCGAGTTGCACAAACATTGGTCCTTCGAGACGGATTGCACAAAACATTCGTCCATCGAGTCGGATTATACAAAACAATAAGTCCTGTAAAGTGTTATAAGTACTATTATGTGTTTAAACATATGATGCTGATTTGCACGAATAAACAAATTAAAACATTTACCAAAGAGCGGTTGCTAACGATGTCAGAAAAAGTGACTCGATTTGGATTTTTTCTCAAAATAATAATAATATTATCGAATAAAAAAGTATGTTGACAGTATGAAATAAAATACATAACAACATACGTCCGGTAACTCTTTTCGCAGTACTCGTTTCGAAATTAAAGACTCGGCTACCTACTCGTCCTGAAACATATCACTCGTACTGTAAAATTTGAGCTACCGGACCGGACCGTATTTAGAATAACTTTAATTACCATTTATGTTTTCATCAACACTAACAAGTATTTAAAATAACAAGTAATAATTTGTTTGTATTGTTTATTCATTATAATAATTCCATTTATTCACCAGAAACTTTTAAACGAAATAAAATCTAATCGACTAGAAATAACGGCAAAGTTGTGCTAGGCTCATCTGGCAACGTTGCAAATTATATAAATGGTTACTATGAGATTTTTACACATTGTTTTCGTCGCCCTCTGTCGAGTGGTAGCTTTATTAAATGTATTGTTGCTGTGATTTGGGTTATCTACGCGCGCGATTGGTGTCCAAGCTTTTCGCCGGCGTTTGACGGCCGACTGTTGGTGCGCCATCTCTTGTTCGTCGGCCGTTGGCCTGTTCGCTCCAAACAATAGCATGGGTCTATCTATCAATGTACAGGGTTAGTCACGAGAGAATTAGCCAAATACACTGACGTCATCCGAGGTCATCAAGATGGCAGCGTTTGACAACTAGCCGGTTTTCTCATAAGAGTCAATGCTAATATTTTCGGAATTCATTTAAATTTGAGAGTGTGTCAACTGTGTTTTTATAGTTTGGTAAGTTTGTTACAGTTTCTAGACTGTGTAGATATCTGTAAAACGCACCATAACGTTTGAATATGCTTAAAAAATAATGTTTTCCAATGTGATGTACAGGTTAACTTCGCTGCATTTTATATTATTTGTTTTGTAAATTAATTCTGTGTTAATGTACATCAATGTTTTTTAAATACACTAGCATCTTAATATTATAATATTTTGTATTTTAGGAGAAAATGCCTAAATTTGGGCTGTTGTGGGTTGCGCGAATCGAAGCACCAGAAATGCGGACAAATTTTATTTTCCTTTCCCAGCAATTAGCAACAATAAAGGTAAATATATACAGGATGGTGAAAAAAGGCGGAAGCTTTGGTTAAAAGCCTTGAAACGAGTGGATTTAACGAAGCCAAAGTAAAATATTCCTATGTTTGTTCGGATCATTTTATTTTAGGTACAGTAACTACCTATTAGATTTACAGTTTCTAACAAATTACTACATTGGTGCTCTTTTAGGTAAACCTACAGATTTGTCCGATGTGGACCATCCTGATTATGTTCCATCACAAAATTTAGGATATCAAAATAAATCCACTCATAATACTTGCAATGTTGAAAGACACAGTTGTTTAAAAAAGAGAAAACTGAATAAATGTCTCTAGACTTTTGAAGGCACGAGTTTTATTGTGGGTTATTTTACTTACTCTAAAAATAAAAAAGTTTAGAATGGTATTCATTGTTATGGTAGGGACATCGTCTAAACACAAACTAAAATCACTTGCACTCATTGTATAAGGATCTAAGCCGTTTAAATTGTTTAACTTTTGTACATATCTGTTTTTCTCTTTGACGGAAAGACATCGTGCATAATCACTTAAATTATCCATACTTTAAAAACAAATCACACACCTTCACTTAAACCCGTCACATTAACCTCAAACGAAAATATTAATTTCCGATTTACCGCTTAAAACACACGGATGTATTTTGGGTGACGAGGAATTCAGACCAAAACAGCGTTCTGTATTTTTATTTTTATTGTGTATTTTTAAGCTCAAATCGCCAAAAAAAAGCACCCTGATACACAGAAAAGATATGAAAGAAGCTATTCACGTGTTTATTTTCTAGATAAATACCCACACTTTTAAATAAAATGCGAAAATGTTAACATTGTCACTTATGGAGTTTCACGGCGCTTGTCAAACGCTCAGTTCCCGCCACAGCGTGACGTCACGTGTTATTGGCTAATTCTCTCGTGACTAACCCTGTATCATGGTAGAAGGAGACATGGTATAGGCATCCGATGTACCAATTTAAAAATCGTCTGCGCATCCATTTGTGACGTTAGGTGGCATCAACGACCTTGTGACTCTCGTGAGCTTCGCTAGGGAAGTCTAGGGAATTTCAGCTTCAATACGTCAATTAGTTGTCGACTAATGAAAGTTAATGAAATTAATAATGATAAAAATGTAATTATTGAAAGTTGAACGGTCCAAAAATGTTGTTTCGTATCAATCTCGATAATTGTGGGACATCAGCAAATGCAAATACGAATTTGCGCTATCCCTTGAATGTTGAAAGGAGGTTTTTTGACATATTTATGCTCATTTCTCTCCACAAACCTAAATTCTGCGATCACATCACACATACGACTGCAACAACTGAATAATCAAAAATAAATTTTTGCAATTTAAAGAATTTATTTTAAATTGCGCGCTAATTTCACCCCACCTGACGTCACACCCGATGCGTATGCCTATACCATGTCTCCTTCTACCATGACCCTGTATGTAAAACGGTGTTGTTGTTTGCGTTTTTCAGTGGTATCGTACAGTTGGTTATCACCATGGTGGTTACGATTGGTTAAGTACATCATGGAGGAATACAAATAAGAATATAGAATATTATAATTATTATTATTATTATGTTAATTCGTCCATGGGTTACGTGTTGTGACGCCTCTGGTTTTAGTAATTTTTACTGCATATAATATTTCAATCCAAAAGTCCCTAAGTGTAATTTGAACACAGTATTTAAACGTGAAAAATTTATGTGAATAAAACTAACCTATTTAAAAACATGAAAAAACCGGGAAATGGTGGGAACGTTTTTCTCATAAAATATATATCTTCGTGCAAAAATTAAGAACATTTAATACATTATTCTCAGAATGTGTGACAAATACTTGCTGTCTTACTACAATGAAGTCATAAGGGATATTTTAAAAGAAACTGATGTAACCAAACATTTTTCTGTTAATATCAAGTGAATAATACCAGACTAATTAGTGAGGAACTACTCACAGATATTTTAGTTTTGTAGAATTGTCCGGAAACGATCCAAACTTGGGGAATAATTTCTTACGAGCTCCAGAGAAGTCACTTGAAGAATGGAACGGAGCTCTACACAAAGTACAAACAAACTTGACGTCACAATCTGAGGAAAACTACACGTTTAAGAAAAATGCCCACTGCCGAATTTATAGTTTGCCTTTATATCCAGAATTGCATCGAATTAAATTTCCTCAAAATGATGACACCAACAAGTTTTTGCAAGTTTCAGGTTGATTAAATAATTTTATCTTGTACATAAAATAATGATAATAGGCACTGTTGTTAGAATGACAGCTGTAAAGATGTTGGAGTATCAACGCCAGTATATTTGCACGAAGTGTAAGTACGTCATGATGGTTATGGCAGAATTTGAAATGAAAAATATTATCACACCTCCAAAGAAGTGTGGAAATCCTGAAGAATGTAAAGGAACAAATATAGTCAGTATGGGGGAATTAAATGCTGAATTTTGTAAAGATTACCAGGAAATAAGAATGCAAGAAACTGTTAGCAAACTTGATGTAGGTTCAATGCCAACTTCAATGTGGGTGACTTTAGAAGACGACTTGGTGGATTCTTGTAAACCAGGGGATAACATCACTGTTTGGTTAGTATTTTGGCATGTGTTGTATATATATTTTATATTTCACATTTAGTGGTTTAGTCAAAAGAAGACAAAATCACTTCTATGTTGGCAAAAAAATGGAAATTGAGTTGGTGATCAAAGCGAATCATGTTCAAGTAAATAACAATAACGCATCTGCACTTTCACTGACACCTGAACTTAAGGATATGTTTCAAGCTTTTTGGAAAACTTATGCCGACATGCCCCTAGCGGCTAGAGACATTATATTGAAATCAATCTGCCCACAAGTGAGTTGACTATTTAGACAACTGCTTATTATTTCAATACTTAAAAGAAATTTGTAAAAATTGTTTAAAATCGTGGTAATTTTACAGCTTTTTGGACTCTATATAGTTAAATTAGCAACAGCTGTAGTATTAGCAGGCGGAAGTAGTCTTCATAACACTTCTAATACTGGCGTAAGAGTACGCGCTGAACCGCACTTATTGTTGGTAGGTGATCCCGGAACGGGTAAATCGCAACTGTTGAGATTTGCTTCTAAAATTATTCCTAGATCAGTACTAACAACTGGGGTAGGATCAACAGCGGCTGGTTTAACTGTTACTGCTGTTATGGTGAGTTGTCAATTATTTTTGATTATAAATAAAGAAAGGGGAGCTTTAGGAAAATGGAGAGTGGCAACTAGAAGGTGGGGCTCTTGTGATGTCAGATGGTGGTATTTGTTGTATTGATGAATTTAACACAATGAAAGAACATGATAGAACTAGTATTCATGAAGCAATGGAACAGCAAACAATTAGTGTGGCTAAAGTGTGATTCTACATTATGTATTTCTTTAAATTTGCTGTTTTTTTTTTCATCTGTAGGCAAGTATTGTGTGCAAACTTAGTACAAGATGTTCAATATTAGCGGCAACCAATCCTAAAGGTAATCTTGATCCGTCACAATCACTAAATATGAATGTCGCTCTTGCAAGCCCTTTATTGAGTCGTTTTGATTTAATTTTACTCCTTCGAGATAAACTTGATGAGGAATGGGATTCTCAGCTTGCTGATTATATTTTTCAATCTTTTGAGAACTGCAATTCTTCGAAATTAACGGAGAATATTAACTGGACTATAGAAATTTTGCAAGTATGATTCATGTTTTAAGAATTCACGAATTAATTAATTGTTTGAAGGCGTACTTCGCTGTTATTAAAAAAATCCATCCCGTTTTGACAGAAGATTCAAATAAAATTTTAAGTGGTTATTACCAAATTCAAAGACGAAAAAATTGTCGGAACAAATCTCGTACCACAGTTCGTCTTCTAGATAGTTTGGTCAGGTAAGTTTGGTCAGTTTAGTCATAATTGGAATATATACGATTTATTTTATTAGGTTATCGCAAGGGCATGCCCGTCTGATGTATCATGAAGAAGTAGAAATATTAGACGCAATTATCGCAGTGATATTGGTTGAAACAGCTATGGAAACTGAATCTTCAGTATTCAACTTACGTTTTAATCTTAAGAATGATTTTCCCCAAGATCCAACTAGTAACTACAGAGAAGTTATGGAAATTGTACTTAAACGATTAGACCTTCATGATTTGCTAGAAAGAGAGCTTGACAGAATAAATAATGGAAGCAAACGATCCAATAAGTCGGATCCAGGTACTGGAAAGAGTAATTTGCTTTCTGAAGACGTAAAGTCTAAATTTTTCCGTGTCCAAAAAGCATCTGAAGAAGATATTAAACAGAATGGCAAAACTTACGAAGAAAATGCTAAACAAGTAAATAATAAATCAATTAGTGCTGAAAATGTGAAAAGGGACCAGAACATAGAGTTACGTTTGGAACACCCAGGCGTTAAAATAGATGAAAAACAAATTAATTTTGAGGCAACAAAAAATATAGTTCAACAAGAAAGTAAAACAAAAAGAACTAAAGTATCCAATGCAAACGCTACTACTACAAAAATCCATGACATAGAATGCCAATCCAAAGACATACAAATTGTAAAAAATAATGTCAGTAATGTAACTAAAGGAGACAACATTAATATTTGCGACAAAGAAAATGTAGAATGTATTAATTTGAATGCGAAAAGAAAAAAAACTAAAAATAACATTAATCCAAAGAAAATAAAATTAAAAAACGAAGAAAATGAATTGCATCATGACTTGGCCGCGTTGAAATGCATGCCTAGTGTTAATGATATTTTTAACATGGATGATTATGATCTAAATGACCCTGGTTTAAATTTTGAAGAAAATAGAAACGAAAAAGACAGTGATGATCATGAGAACGTATCTGGATTGTGTTCCAAAATCAACGAAAGTAGTGAAACAAAAGCCATAGGGGAAACAAAAAATAAAACGGATACAAATGGGGAGCAAATTTCAAAAGTTTTATCACAACGTATAAGAACTAAGAACTTCTTGAGTAAGTTTAAATTTATTCCAAAAGAAAGTGGGCCATCCACTGTCACCACAGACGACAAATCACTTCAAAATAATACGAATCACAATTTTGTTAACATGGCTGGTGAGGACGATCAAGTTAATATGCAGTATAAAAATTCTGTATCAGAGAGATTGTCGAATAATCAGTTAGTTATAAATGATACTGATACTAATGATTTGAATGACATTTCTTTTATGAATGTTGTGTCTAGTACACAAACAGAAAAACCCGCGATGTCTGAAGAAAAAAGTAACAATTCATTTGAAAGTGGAAACGTTGATTTTGACATATCTTTAGTAAGTGCTAAACGTAGCACCAATTCAGAAAACACCACAGATGATACACTGTTAACAACTAACAAACCTACAACCACAAAAAAGTTCGACTTCAAAAAAGTATGCATTTCTGATAAGTTAAAACCACAATCTGATGTTCTTCATGCACCGTCTTCAATTTTCGAAAGTCAAGAAGACATCGATAATTTGGATCTAGACTTATAAGAGTTTTTTGTTATGTAACATAATAGTTAGAAAATACATTTATTTGTTTGTATGTATAAAATACACTTACTGTAACGACATTAACATCCTGATTGTAAATTTAACAAACTAATACTCTTCGTTATATTACTTGTTGTATTTAATGTCGATTCCATACCCAGTTGGAATACTCTCGTCAATATTAATTTTCCGTATTCTTGCATCACTGAAACTAGGTCCGAAAGTTTATCCAAAACACTGGCTACCACGTCACCATTTTTACTGTCTAAACACGTGAGAATCGCGGGCAAGGCGTCTGATGCAGCCTTAGGATTATATTTCAACCACCGAACTATTAATATTAACGCCAGCGATCTCACGTTTCCACTCGACGAACTAATATAATTATATAAGTATTGCGACGGCAGATCGAGTAAGTGAGGTTTCTTGTTCGTTATATGATCCAATTCTTGTAACACGTTTAAGTTTTCTGACGACTGTAACGCAGCGAGCAATTGTGGCCAATGAGGGGGTAATGGATCCATTATGGGAGCCATGGCTGTACGTACGAGTAGTTCTGGAGGGGTACTGGAATCGCCTACTGGCAGAGTAACATTGGACAGTAGGGGACGAATTCCAGGTTGTACCATCTGAATGTCACTAAAACAGAGAAATAGAAGTAATCACTAACAATTAGTAATGTTGTACACTTACACTAGTACTGACCCATGCTCTTGTAAGTACCGTGATGCTGCTTTAATATCGTTTGTCATCCAGTTTTGGATAAAAGTTATAATTCGTTGTAATAAAACGGTCAGATCTTTTATATGTCCATGATACTGTAGCAGCAAGAAGTATGAATCTAAAATATCGCACAACGTGTGACTTTGCTCAAAAACGATAGGTTGCAGCAGTTCCAAAAGTCCCAAGATTTGTCCAAAAAGCAGTAAATGACCCCTGTTTTTCAAAACTCCAAAATCGTATTGAGCCCTCCCTTTCAAACTTCCAGCTAACATCGGAAGTTGCCTTAGAACCAAAATAGGGTGAGTAGCCGCCAATTTTCTAGCGCATAGTTCCAAATCTTGACTTTTACGTGGCCAGTCTTTGCTGCGAGGAGTCGCAGCTAGAGCACTTAACAAACAGTGTGAAATTTCATCAGCTGAACTCGGACAATTCTTCGAAAAGGCTTGTTTAGAAATGTCGTCTTTAGTGCTAACTAAATCTTGCCCAGAAGCCGGCAGTGACATATAAATCATCAGAAGAAGTTCACGAGAGTGTAGATCAGTATCTGAATTTTTTAAAAGTGTTTCTAGTATTGCAGACGCGCAGGTTTTAATGCACTTCAAAAGTAGTACCAAGCGCGATTCCATTTTCTTCTGCCAGTTGTTTGTATTTTGTTTGCTTTCTTCTAAGATGTACTTTACCAAGATGAGGGCCTAAAAGCAGTTTTATACTTGTTGCTAGATATTCGCCGCTCTTACCTTGTCTTTTCCTAATTCGAAGACATCTTCAGGATGATAGTGCTTAGGGATTGCTTTGTCTCGTCCTTGCCATAATTTGGGACTCTGCGTTAACGCACAGAGAAAATCTAGAGCAGATACTGCACAGATGTTGGGGGTATCTTCTTGTAAAAGATAATTCATGATACCGTAGAGGCTCTGCCAGCTTGCTCTTTGAAGAACTAAAGACATTAATAGGGGTCGAAAAGAAAGGTGTTCTTTGGAAAATAATAAATCTTTCTACGGAGAGACAAAAATGGTTATTTTGAAAAAAAAACCGTAGACATTACCTGTAACTTCTGTTTTTGTGGTGAAGCAATTTCTAACTCTATTGTTGACAACCAGTCAACCAATAAACCGGTTTTCTCTTCCTGAGATTTCGTTTCTGATAACATAGTAGTTAATTTTTCTCCTATGTTATCAATATTTCCTGGTATATCAAGGTCCACACACGATTTTTTTTCTTCCTTTTTTACCTCGACGTTTTGGCTTTGTTTTAGAAATTGTTTTAATACAGCGAAATTAGAATTACGAACATCTGACAGCTGGCTTATGAAACCAGTCGCCATAACAACTAGATCATTATCGGTTCTGTTGATGGTAAACAGTAATCGAAAAAGTGTAGATATCGAATTATATTTCAATAATATTGGCGTTATGAAATTCATTGGAAGAGATTTTAAGTAACTGAACACAATATCGAGAGTTGACTTCTCCAATGACATCTACAAGTTTTTTAGTTAATACATGAGAAGTATGTAACTTACGCTTACCTTTGTCAAAGTCAAGATGTCTTTGTTTTTATCGCCACTATAATTCGGACTAAAAATATTATTCAACAAGTTGATAATATCCCCCGAATTGGACACACTTTGTTGATTTTGTTTCACCAGACTAGGTACAGCCTTCTTCGTATCAACTACTACCTTGACATCAACATCTTGGACAACCGGCATTTGCATTTCAATGGCTTTCACAAAAGTTTCACCCCCAACAGCCCCTCTTTTATTTTGCACCTCAACCAGCTGGATCATGTACGTCTTGTCTAGCACCGAGTCCACTACTAATTTTGGATCAAGAAGAGTCGCTTTATCCAAAGTATTCAGTAATTTGCTGATCGAACTTGTAGGAATTCCAAAGGACTGTATAAATAACACTAACTTCGGAGGCTCTAATTTTTCTATAGCTGCATCAACCAAACGCGGTACGTTAGACCGAATCATCCTCAATTTCATCCAATCGGGCAAATACGACGTCCTTTCGTTGGTGTCCGGAGTGTAAGCTCGCGGATGCTCGGTATTTTCCGGAAACCAAAAATTTAGTAATGTGTTGAAAGGTTCGAAGTTGTCTAAAGGACCATATGTCAAGAGAACAATTGCCGCATGTATTACTAGAGTTTGCATATGGCATTGTTCTCCAGTTACCCATGTTACCAGCACATATTCACTATAATTTTGCAACGAACTATAAATGTCTTCTGAGTACTCTTGCGCCTTCTGAATGTGCGTTGCAAATATAGTTAAAAGATTCTTCAGGGTCTGATTATCGGATCCGGGAAGAACATAAGAAGCAACACTATGACGTTCGATGATAACCGATGACAAGTCGGCAATTAATTCGTGAAGCTCCGTAAACGAATCATTACAATCTTGTGTAGCTAAGAAATTGATGTAACTTGAAACTCTCGACGGATTAGTTTCGATCTGCAATGCCTGTCGCAAAAACTGAATCAAAACAGGTTTGATCATGGTGAAATGAGGAAAATGACTAATATAATTCGTCAACCAATTTGTATGATTAGTTTCAGTCTCCTCGTTCGGACCCAAGATCAAATTCAATCCTTTCGTCGCTTGCGTCCTGCTTGCACCATGATCAGACGTCAAGCGTCTGAACAAATACTCTAAAACCTCACAAGCTGTTTGGGGGTCGTTTTCATTAACAACAGTTCTTAGATGGGCCAAAAGCTGACCGTGTTTGGTTAACTTCTCTGTGGGCGCAGTAGATAAGAGATATTCGCATAAGCACTGAACGGGTAAATGCGCCAAAGCGCCTTCTGAGTTATGTACTAATTCAGCTAACCATGGCATATGAGCCGTACCACCTTGTCGCGACATGATGTCGAGTAGAAAATCTGGGTTGCGTGAACGACAAAGGAGGTGTCCCATACGATGACTGTTGTTGAGGTGTTGAAGCTGATCAAGAACGGCTTGAGGAGGTCGTCGAGCTTCACCTTCAGGTCTTAGTTCCATTAATTGGGGCAAGAGGAGGCTGCTTTGTTCGGTTATTTCCATTTTCGTACTAGCGGCAGCCAGGTGTGTTTCAAACTCGAGGATTTTTTGCTTCTCAAGCGCGAGAATTTGTTGTTCACGTGATTGATAGTCTTCATCGAGGGTGGCCATTGTTGGTGGAGGAAAGGAGAAATGACTACGATAGATAATTAATTTTGTTAAGTTGAAATTAGTCAAATTATAAGGTGAATATAAAATATATACGATAGATCTGAGGAAGGTACAGATGTACTAAAAAGAAATAAATAATTAAAACTGAAGGAAGCGTTTTTTTTTTAATTAACAAAAATTGTTTAAAACCACCTCCACGAAGATGGAATCAACAAGATAAGAAGTTTCGTCTTCACCCAGGTATCAAATTAAATTATTTGAAAACTACTACACTTGTACACGAAGTAAATTATGGGATCCACAAGAAAATCTGTTTAGGAATATCATACATTTGATTTGTTAGCGTCATCTATGTATATTCAATTTTGTCAGACAACAAAATTAACGTTGTTTTTAAGTGATATTATATTTTTACTTCATGAATTAGGGAAATATTGTAATAGAGTTCACTTAATGGATGACTAATTTCATGTTTTCTCAGCGTTTCACAGCTCTGAAAAAGTAGGTATCCCGTTTTCGTCTGTCTGTCGTTAGTTAGCGCTTTCATTAAGCAAGTAATCTCCGACACATGTTATTTTTAAAATTGCGCTTGCAGGTCTTTGGAAAAAAATAAAATAAAATTACAATTGACTTTAAAAACTACAAAATCGATTGTTCTGAAATTTGATACATGCTTTATGGCATTATATTATAACACGTCATCTCAAAATATTGCAGTCGTGAACATTTATAAGTTTAGAAAAGCTGTTTCGGTAGTTGTAGTTTTTTCATACGCTTTTTTTAGAACTGTTTACACAGGATGTCTTAAAAATTTAATTAATGAAGAAATTTATTTTATTAATTAAATCAAACATCTTGTTTTCCTGAAATTCTAGGAAAATAGTACTGTAGTATTATGGACACTATTGCTATCCAAATCGTTATATTTCTTCCTAGTAAAAAGTCGATGACGTCATCACAAAATTGTTATTTTTAGTTTTCACAGCTTATTAAGACCCAAGTTTCCCATTTCTGTCGGTCTGTCTAGATTTTATTGGACGGTTAACGTCTGAAACTATCATGCAAATACTTAGCAATTTTTTTTATACGTGCCTACGTTAAGTTTATCACAGGTTAATAATTAATCTCTACTTTTAACTTTTATGAAATGTCTCAAAAAACAAGTATAGGCTAGGAACACTTATTGAAAGATTACGATTACGAGTGTTTAAAACCGTTTAAAAATAAAATATGCAGCCTATTCTATTTCAAGAAATGTATGTTTAATTCTCAATTTATACATAATAGTACATTAATATATTTAGATTCCGCACTCATAATTAAAAAAAGTACGAAATGTTGTTTGAAGCAAGTTGACTTATCGTTTAAGCACTGATTATATTTACACATTTAAAAGTTTAGAGACACTTACTTCAGGTACACATAAAAATTTGTCATTTGTATATAATAGGTAATTAAGTAAAAAGTAATCCGTCATTTATTTTGTGGAATTTCTCTCTCTGAGCCTTTTCCATTGCTATGTTACGAATTTGACGCAAAATCTTAAACTCTGTCATTTCTGCCTCTCCTTGTTTTTCATACCATTCAATGCACTTTGATAACATTTCAGCCGCTTCTTTGTGACTTACAACTGAATTTATTTCGTTTTCTTCTGCGTTGTCTTGTTTACATTCTTCACTGAATTCTTCATCACTAGAAACATTATATTCCATATCTGAAAGGCCAGTTTCTAGCCATTCACTTACTAGATTTTTATCAATGTTTTCATATTTTGGAACCTGCGACATAGCTTCTTGAATTACATAATTAGAACTATTACTAGTTTCGTCGACTGAGTCACATTCTCGTGACAATAGTTCATTCCAACATCTCTGAAGTGTGGTTTTTGGGATATCATCCCAAGCTTCAGCGACAAAATAAATGGCTTCCTTGACCGTAAATTTTTTCCAGAACTCACACATATCGGCGTTTTCCTCACACAAGAAGTGACTAATCATTTTTTCCCTGTAACGGCGTTTTAAATTTTCTGTCACACTTATTCTATTCGTAGGTTGCACTGAAGATGTGGTATTTACTGGAACAAACTCGCAACTTACTTTACCATCCGTAGAAGTCAATTTTTCAATTGAATGCGTTGAGATATTATTTATTAGTAATAAAGCCTTTTCCGGCAGATTCAAGTTTCTTAAATGCTCTTGTACAGCTGATACAAAATGCTGCGGAAACCAATCTCTAACATCGTATTTACTTGTTGATTTCTTATTACAATATTGCACGGGTAATAATGTCATATTTACATGTTTCAAAGGATTTGGTCCTTTGACAAAAAGTGGAAGACGATGATTACCGCTGATGTTTGCACATACCCATATGGTAAGTCTATCATTTTTTACGTTATATCCTGTAAAGGTTTCTGGTGATTTTTGTGGTAACGTTTTCCAATTTAAGACTGCTTTACTGCACACATACACTTGTTCGTCTTTTAAATTAAACGTTTTTATTTTGTCTTGCAGATGATTCGCATAATTTACCGTAGAAGATGGACCAGCACGTACTAAGGTTTCTTCATCAGTATTTGCGCGTCGAATTCCATGACGAGTTTTAAATCGGTGAAGCCACCCTACACTTGCTTTAAACAACGGGTCACCGTTCATTTTTTTGTTAAAATAAATTGCTTTTTCTTGAATAATAGGTCCGGTTAAAGGTACACCTCTATTCCTTTGCTTGACGAACCACTGAAATAATACTACGTCCAGTTGATCATACTTTGAAAGTTTCATTGTTTTTCTTGATGTAACATCCCCGTCAGACGTTTCCACCTTATTAATATATTCTTCAATTTTGTTATGACTCTTCTTTATGTCGTTAATCGTTGTTCTGCCCACATTATAAATTTTGGCAAGACTTGATGCACTTTCACCATCTCGCAAACGCTGAACGACTTCGTATTTTGTTGATAAGTCCAGCGTTACGTGTTTTCGCTTCGAAGACATCATAAATGGAATTTAATTCGATAAATAAATGTTGAACAAACACTAGCGCACTAGTTACAGCGATCCGTGTTCGTCGGGTGTGGCGGATTACTGAGCATAACGATCCAACGCGAAGCGGATTAACGGGATTTTACGTATCTTCATTCGTAGTTCTATTGGTCTTTTCTAAAAGGCGGCAAATTCCGAGAGGGCAATAAAAAACACGATCAAAGACAGTCATGGATTTTTCAAGATTTGTCTTTGATAGAATACAGTATAATCTCACTAATTCGGCACTATTAAAAACCGGAATAAAAGCACGTGGCCGTGATAAGTTTTGGAAGCTAGACTGCTAGTCGACAACGCGAGCGACTGAAGCGCACATGTGTAAAGGGGCGAGGGAGGCGTGGGCGGAGGGTGCCGGATTATTGGACGTGCCGATCTATCCAAGTGCCGGATTAGTGAGATTATGCTGTATTTGTCTCGTCAGATTATCGTCAATTTGAAAGTTTGAGTTTAAAATGCAAAAATTCGCTTGAAAAGTAAAAAATATAAAATCGTTGCTAGAATTTTTCAATTAGGATGCACTGAAATCTTGTTTACGAAATTTTTCTTATTGAATTTTATTTTTAACAACTTATTAGAAGATAAACTGTAGGTTACTCTGAAACGTATACAAATAATATTGCACTCAGGGTATATTTTTCAGCTGATATCAATTTACTGGGGCGGATGAATAAATGAATATTAGTCGATGCATCGTCTTACAAGGAAATAATTTCCAAGCTAAATTGTATAATTTTACTCTACACTTTTAATTTTGTTTATGATAAGTGTTGGGCATGATTTTAAAAGCTTTCGGTAAATATTACAAAAATATGTTGACAACATCCACGCAGTCCTTGTTCGGTTTGACAGTTACATAACTGTCAAATAGCTGCCATGTCAACATCATTATTTTAAAAATACATTTCGTAGCTTCTTAGACGACTTTTTTTTTCAGTCATATGTTATTATTCTACATAGATATATTTAAAATTTAAAAGCAATCAGTTCCCTAGTTTTACAAATTATTTGTACAATAAAATCATCAACAAACACATGGACAGAGGGGAAACGGCCTACCGATATTTTCGTATTCTACACACTATGAAATGTCAAGAAAACATGAAATTATACCTTATCACAATACATTCCTTAGCATATAGTGGCGGCTAAAATAAAGTATTTTTTTTTAATTTAGTTGTGTAAACTGGAGTGGAATTCATTGAAAATGGCATTTAAACGTCAATAAAAATTTGAAAGTTACACTGGAGAAAGAAAAGTGTCCTACTTTATTTGGGTCGACACTGTACCTTCGGGAAATAAGTGAAATATTTTAATACATATTGTATATATTTCACAACAGGAATAATAACCTGCTATCACAAAATAGTTTCAAATGTTTAATCTACACATTTTTTTTTGTGAAGCAGTTATTTTAAAGGTACAAAAACTTAAACATTGTACTTACTTTGTTATACACATTTCCATAAACATTCTCAGCATGGGATATTTATTCCAAACTTCATTTCCAAAAGTGACAGGATTATGGGCAGCCAAAATCAACAATATCAACCACACTTTCCAGTATAACCCCGAAATTGCCAAACTTGGAGGGACATATCCAGCTGGTAGAGTTATATTTTCTGGATAATTGTAACTGCACAGATTGAAGTAGATCCCAATAATTTCGATGTTGTCAACTACCAAAGGCGGAGCACAATCTTGCGGCAAATTCGCTGCCCGTCTTATCAACTGATCGCTGATTTCTATAGCTTCAGTAGGACTAATAGGATGTTCTTTAGAATTCCCAATCAAAAGAATTCTCAATAACGTCGCCTGAAGTAACGGGACTTCACTAGTTAGTCTTAAAAACAAATTTCGTTCGTTTTCGCCTGGCCACGAATCTACTTTATAATACTGTTCAGCTTGTTCCAAAAACAGCACTTTCAAAAGGACGTGATGGAAATCATTCACGCTTGGTCTAAATACTCGCAGAGCTGTATCATTCAACCAGGTTACTGCTTCTCTTTGGATATTACTGACCTGCTTCTGGAAAATTTTCAAAACTGATACGTCTCGCTTATTTTGAGTGGAAGCGTCTCGGACTTGGGGACTCACACACAGAAGCATGCACATACAAACAAGATCAGCTAATGAGATGAAGATACGCTCTCGAAATTCTGACTCTCGGACGCTGTTGGCAAATTCTTTGCGTTCGCGAAGAAGTGAATGAACAATACTCAGAAGGTTAAAGTCATGCCGAAGGACTCTGTTTATTTCTTTCAGTAAAGCACGAAGCGAACGCAAGTAGTCGTCTTTGTTTAGTAGCAATTCCTACGAAGTTAACAGTTATAAGGGTTTTATGTTTTAACGTTGATTCATACTTACCAAACATATGTCTGCAAACGCATCAGCACTAGATTCTGGTACTACTTGAAACAAAGCCCCCACCACAATCAAGTTGTTGGTGTTTCGTGCATTAGATAGTTCATTATAAATAGTGTATTTAAGAAGAGGATACAGATTTTCGGGAAAAGAGTACACCATTTCCCGTAAACAATTATTAAAGAAGTTGACCATTGGTTTATTTTTCAGTCTTAGTTTACTCAACTGTGCTATTATTTCTAAATCTCTTTGAGAATTTGCTGAACAATTATAGCATAGGTAAGCTAAGAGTTCTTGAGCTGGTTTCATTAATTTATGATTGTGTAGCCAACTTTCTATTCTGGATACCGCGATTATTCGAATTTCTACAAGACCACAAGCGATGCTCAAGAATCTAACAAAATTTTTGGTAATGGTTTCTGGTTGTTGGCGACGAGCTAGTTGTTCCTTGATGGCTTCGAGCACAATTTTTTCCACATTTTCTTGTGACTGTGTAAATCGGGGGTAAACTTTGACGTTCCAGTTTTCTACAGCGGCCTTATGTTCTATAAAAGCTGCAAAATGTATTTTTTTTTAGAACTTTGTCCGTACAGCGACGCAATTACTTGAAGAAACTTTATTTAAACTTTAATGTTAGCTAGTAATTAATGTTATCCCATAAACGCACTTTCTTTCATTTTATACCTCAGGACTAAATTATGTTATGCTCATGAGTCATGTGACATGTCACTGTAACCACAGCGTAAACCACTTACATAATACCATAAAAATCTCAGGTGCCGATCATTGTATGGATTGGGTCATACATTTAATTTTACTTCCCTCCATTTGCTTGACTTCCGTCTGTTTTTTTTTTTAAGATAATGCAAAACTATACGTGGTGTCGATAACGTACGCTCCGTCGAGCGAAAAACGATCGTGTGATGGATCACTTGCTTGCTAATTCTAAGAAAACGTGATCATTGTCAGGGATTAAGTTTTTCCAATTTCTAACCGCTTAAATAGGTTCTTTAAAATTTTATTTTTGCAGGTCTTACACATGTAGTTTATGACTCCGTGTTGAGTTTTTACCCGAAATGTCTAAATTTTTTGAAAAAAAAAATAAAAAATTTTTGCAATTTAATTTGGAATCTACAAAACCGAATCCTTTGAAATCTTGGAGATGTTTTAAAGTTATCATAAGCATGGTATATTTTTGACATTTCTTTGCTTATCCCCCCTTACAATTGATTAAGTCACCTCAAAATTTTGCCAAATAGATCCTATCTTAAATGTGCAGAATATAAGAATATGAGTCTATACTTGTGATTTATCACTGCATTAATATTTTTTAAATTTACTTATACGGGGTGTCTCAAAAAAATAAATGACTGAGTCACTCCATTTTTCCAGAAAATTTTGGGAATACAATACTGTTATTTTTAGTATTACACTGCACTAATCGAAGATGATATACGTGTCCTTGCAAAAATGTTGATGACGTCTTCACAAAATTGTGTGAAGTAAAAACTCACTTTCATTGTGCTTTAGATGCGAGAGAAGTTTTGTCGAAATAACTTTTCGACAAATCATCTTTACACAACAGTGGGTTTTTAGTATCTGAAGCGCTCCTCTGTCAATATTTTGTTTCTATTCTCTTCTTCAAATTGTTAATGTTTTATTACTTTTTACTACTATGTGTGAAAGTTTAGAAGTTAATGTAACAGTTCACCCAATTTATAAGCAAAAATACGTAAGATATAAACACATTTTTGCAGTGTCGGGTTGTGCCACCGGGACACTGAGAAATTTCTCGGTGGGCCCCAAATAAGTCTACTTCTTTTTTTTTCATACTTTTTTAATAATTTTATAATTATTTACTTTTTCGCGTATGAAGGATGTTACAATTACAAATGCAATAAATATTCGTATAAATATACCTAACAGACGCATTAAAAGTGACATGTAACTATTAAATAAGAACATCTTTTTACTTTCAGAGCGTAAACTCAGTACGAAACAATAGGTCGCCCGTTTATTAGACAGATAATCTCCGAAACTACTGAGCCAGTTCTCAAATTTAATGTATATCACGAATATCTTTTAGATGATCAAAATTTGCCTAATCATCCCTACCAACAATTTGTTGACGTCATCTCCAAAATGTACAGTAGTAAATATTATTTAAATTTTATAAAATAAGAAACTCCTGCACATGTAGTGTATGAACCCCTGTTGAATTTTTTCCCTAAACATCCAGTTTTTTGGAGAAAAAAATCAAAATTACAACATCTTGCAATTTAACTTCGAAACTGGTCTGAAATTTTCGAAACGTTTTACGTTATCGTAAGCATGGTAAATCGTTATTTTTTTTTTCGTTTATGCTCCTCTAAAACAATAATGATATGATTTTACAATTTTGCCGATTTAATTTATTTTTATCAAATATAATTTTTGGTGATTCCAAAAGCGCTGTTTATTATTTCAAATCCAATTCTCATCTGAATGACTCGGGTTTAAGGATTGTATTATCGAACGTTTTACACGAAATTTTTAAACTGAAATCAGTATAATAGAAAGTAAAATGGTATGTTTCACCCCACATCTTTGTATGTACCTGTTTTTCATCAATTTTAAGGTACTTTATCATGTTTTTAAGCAAACAGGCCAATTTTGACGTTCAAGTGTTTATTGCTCTTTATAAAATAAAAAAAAATAATTTTTGTCGTGAAGTTTCTTTTAATGCATTTTTTTAAGATTCCAGCCCATTTTTAACGTCATTTTATAAAAAGTTGTGGATTTCTAAAGATTTTGCTCATGAGTCCAGCGGATCCAGATAGAAACCAATGACTTTCAGATTTTTACAAAAAATAAATAAATAAATAAATAAATAAAAAAACGCTTCAACTTCAAAACTGGCCTGTTAGAAAAACAAAATGTTGGAAAAAAATCTACATTGTATAACAATACATATTTTACAATTTTTGAAATTGCAAAAACCAAATACTCTGAAATCATGCAAATATTTTAAGACTATTTGAAACATGGTAAATCGTTAGTCAAAATTTGTCCGTCATCTTACATTTTTGTGGATTTTCTTCAAATTTCTGAGTGTTTATGGGAAAAAAAAACTGAGTATGAATTAATCAATCTGCCCTATCCTCTGCGTTGAAGACACAAAATCAACCAAATTTCATTTTCTTTTAATCGCTGAAGTTTGTGCTAGTACTCGAATCCGGTCGAAGTATAAACATAAACTGTTGAAGTTAAGCATATACTGAGAAATTGAAATTATCTACATTTTTCCAGTTAGTTATCTGATTTAAATTTAATATATTTCATATTTAAAGGCGCAGGGTTTGCGGTGATGTTAATTACGCCACTTTATAGAGGTTAACAGTTATCACAAAACGAAAATCTAATTTTATCATTTTGAAGAAGCGGAATTTATCGGATCATACTTCCAAGGACGAGGGAAGTTCTGTCAAAATAACTTTCCACATTATTTTACTAGCTTTGTTTTTTATCCACTTATTAACAATTTTGTTTATTTTTGGTAACTGAGACTCTACCTTTGATTATTATCAAGACCAAATTATAAAAATTAGTAGACAGAAATGTTTATAATCTACTAATTCCTTCACTATTTTTTATTTAAGATACCCTTGAGAATCAAATTAATTTTTAAAATGCACGCAATGACTTTGTTCAAAAATTGTTATTACGGTAGAATCCTCTCTTTTTTTTTCAATTAGTCAAATAAATGACCCTAGAGTAGAAAATGAGAACAAATACTTACTTTCAATTTTACTATCATCATCAGCACTGGTAATAGTAAGTGGACTTGAAGTATCTCGTGCACCAGAATTCCACGTTTCTGACTTTAAAAGAGACGATGGAGGCAACTTTGTGTTAAACGCTGTTACAATATTATCAACAAAAGGTTTACAGTATGGATTATCAATAAAAACTCTGTCTGCAACAGCATCTTCCACATAAATCTACAAACACCTAGTGAGTTTCCCGATGACTATCCACTAAAATATTTACCTTTACAAATGCTTCTGGCCAATGCCCCACATCCGAAAAAGCGTGTGTTAATAAATTCATGAACAAAATATGAAAATATGCATTACTCTTATTAACTCCTTTAAAACCAGAAGTAACGTCGCGTCGGAGAACGCTCATTATCGCCGCAATAATATTTTCATTTGTAAATAATGAAGGTTTACAACTGCAGGTCAATAAAAGACTCAAGTAAACAACTTTACAAATCTTTGTTCTTTGTCCCTTCAATGATCGAATAATCCCCAAAATGTACCCAATCTAAACAAACATCACTTACAGAATAAACAAACACAAAATAGAAGAAAACAACATACGGCTTTGTCTGTATTCCCAGCGTTAACTGCGGTCATTATATTTTCAAACAGCTCCGCTGATTCACAATCAGTAGCTAGTGCTTCCCAGGGTTCAACTCCCATTCTTTCGATTGGCATCATGCTGCTGCTGGATGGACCTGGCATACCAGGACGGGCTCCAGGTAATGTGACTTTCATTTTCTTTGACGGCGGAACGGCTGACAAGCTTGACGAACTTCCCTCCCTTTTTAACTTGTCAGGCACTTTGCTTGAAGTTGATGGCAAATGTGAACTACCTGTAGTTTTAGGTAGAGGCACTGTTCGTTTGGGATCATCTCTTGGTGACGACTGTTTTGCTCCTAAAGCTATGAATAAATCTGGGGGTTGTTGCGTGATTTTGGCTTTCGGGCCCCTGGTGCCTTGACTCTGGCCAGGCTTGTTTCTATCCATGACGTAGGAGTTAACCTCAAAATTTGTTTATAATGAAATGTTGATAGAAGTTCTCATGTTATAATAATTATAATTGCTGTAATAACTTTACTATTGTAATATTTACGGAAAGTGTACGTTTTTTGAGAAAATTAATCACCCAAGTAAAGAAGTTACTTCGTTTACTGTTTCAACGCCAACTGTCAAATTCTTAATCATTTGTTGATTTTGATCACAGACTACCCCCTCATTTTGATTGTCAATTTATTTAGGGAATTTTTAGTTTTTATTTTCGTGTGGCATGCATGATCTGTACACCTCGTGTTTGTCATGTTGTAAACATAACCTGTACCTGTTGTCTTACGTTAAAAATATTTTATTTATGATTATAGTTGAAACAAACAAAAATGGGAAAGGTATATTAAAATTATTTCATTGCTAGATTTTTAATTTATATTGTAGGTTCAGCGATATTTTAATAAAACAGAAGATATTTCTCCAAGTTCTAAAACCTCTCCGAGTAAGGACACAATAGTATATAATATCAAACCCAAATTAAAACCGTGGGGTAGAAGACAAAGTGACAAAGTTATAAACAAAAAGAAAAAAGTCGTGAAACTCCCAAACCCTAACCCTAAATTCAAAGGCAAGGTTCCCATTCCAAAAAAACGTCTCAAAAAGTATGCAAGGGGTGAAGGAATTAATAAAACTGGAATTAAAACAAAAATTCATCAGAAAAAATTTGAGAAAAAAGAAAAAGTTATAAAATTTGCAGCTCAACAAGCGGCTAGAGCAGAAGTCTTACTAATTGAAGAAGAAGGGTAATATATTTTATAATGCAGTCAGAAAACATTTTTTGAATTAATGCGTTATATAGGTTTCTAGAAGCTGATGCTGGTGAAACTACAACTCAGTTCACGCAGAAACAAATAAGAGAAAATGTAGACATAACAGCTGCTAGTAAATGTTTTGATTTGCGTCTTGAAGATTTTGGGCCATATCGCATGAAGTATACAAGAAATGGACGTCATATGTTGTTGGGCGGTAAAAGAGGACACGTTGCTGCTTTTGATTGGGTTACAAAAAAATTACACTGTGAAATAAATATGATGGAATCAGTTCATGATGTTTGTTGGCTACATCTTGAAACTATGTTTGCCGCGGCACAAAAAGAATGGGTTTATATGTATGACAATCAGGGAATTGAGTTGCATTGCATTAAAAAACTACATAGAGTTACTAGAATGGAATTTTTACCATACCATTTTTTGTTAGCTGCATGTGTAAGTAAGACAAAAACCAATCAACCAAGTTGCTATTTAATTTTAATTTTCAGAGTGACATGGGTTATTTGAGTTGGTTGGACATTTCTATTGGTCAGATGGTATCACAATTTAATTCAAGATTAGGAAGATTAACCATGCTTACACAGAATCCATGGAATGCCGTTTTATGTGTTGGACACGTCAAGGGAGTTGTTTCTATGTGGTCCCCAAATTCTAAAGATCCTCTGGCAAAAATGTTGTGTCATAAAGCGCCCTTAACTGCTCTTCATGTAGATCCTAGGGGACAGTATGAATGTGTAAAAAATGTCATATTTTGTTTATTTATCTATTTTTACAGATATCTTGCAACTGCTGCCAGTAATAGAGAACTTAAGATATGGGATGTACGAAAATTAGAAGGACCGGTCCAAGAATACAAACTCATAACTGCTGCAAATAATTTAAATTTTTCCCAAAAAAATATGCTAGCTTTAGGAATGGGAAATGTTGTAGAAGTGTATAGGTTAGTGTAAAAGTACTTTTTGTCAATACAATTTCTAAAAATATGCATTAATTTAGGGATTGTTGCACCACCGCGACAAAACGGCCATATTTGCGTCATCGTTTTACGACATCTATAGGTAATTTAAACTTCTGTCCTTATGAAGATGTTTTGGGAGTTGCAACAGCAAAAAGTGTTACTAGTTTACTTGTGCCTGGTTCAGGTGAACCTAATTTTGATGCCTTAGAAGCTAATCCATTCCAAACTAAATCACAAAGGAAAGAAGCAGAAGTTAAATCTCTTCTTGAGAAGGTTCTCTATCTTTTTTTTTTTATTTGACAGTTTGTGATTTTTTGATTTTGTAGATTCAACCAGAGCTAATTACTTTAGAACCTAATGTTATAGCGGAAGTTGATATTCCCACGCTGAAGGATAAAATAGACGCCAAACAAAAATTACTTGTGAGTTTTTAATTTATTATTTGACAAAATTCTCATAAATCATTTCAGCACGTGAAACCACCTAAAATTAACTATACACCAAGAAACAAGGCGAAAGGTAAAGGAGGTTCCGCAAAAATTGCTAAAAACAAAAAAATTGTTCAAGAACAAGCCAAAAAAGTAAGTTATCTTTGTGGTAATAATGTAAATATTATTAAAAAATATTTTAGGAGTTTGTTAAAAGCACTAAGGATTTCATTCCAAAGTTGAATATCCAGAAGGAACAACAGAAAGAGAGTGGTGTCTTGGACAGATTTTTACCCAAGAAACGCAAAACGTAGTGTTTATTTGAAATATATGATTTACTGAAGAATAAGTGGAATTATTTCTTCAACCAAGTTGTCTCTATTTGCCACGTTGACCTGAAAATTCACATTGAAAATTTTTATAATTTTATTAAAATAACATACTGTGAATAAATGATTAGATGTATCGCTTTTCAGTTTTTGTACTAGGGGACCTCCGCCTTTTAAAGGTACTGTGGCAATGATTTTGCCCTTTTGACCTGTGAGTACAGTTTTAATTTTGGCTTCAAATTTTTTACTCAAAAGTTCCATTTTTCCAATTTCATCTATTATGAGTATTGAACTAGTCTGCAAAATTACACTGATTTAATGGTTTAAAAATTATATGCTTAATTTACCTTATTAAATATAGGAAGTGCTACTTTTTCAAATTCTTCAATGTGTACATTATAACTTCCAACTTTATATTTTGACTCACTGCCTGCGTTACTAAAAATTAAAGGTCTAAACTTTAGTTGGTTGTTAAGTCATATGACAATCAATACCTTTTTCTTGCTAAGACTCCCCTGACATTGTCTAGTGTAACAATATCGAAACCTATCCTGTAATTTTTGCTATCCCGCAACTCTTCTGTGTAAAAACCAGTGACTTCTAGTGCCATGTCTTTTAATTTGGTGGCAATTTTTTTTGTTAGAGTAGTTTTACCAATTCCTGTTACATCCAATTGAGATCACAGTTATCAGTTCGCTTATATTTTACCTGGTAATCCTTGTAATATAATGTATGGCATTTCTAATTACAAACTAGTAGATATTCCTATGAAGTTTGTTCAATGAAGTTGTATGACACTAAAGTTAACAGCATAAACATCAACAAAAAAAAAAACAAGTCACAAAAGTAAAAGAACACCAAGGAATCGCAATTTTGGAATGAAATTTTATACATACGCTTCATAGCCTAACTAATTGAAATTAAATAATATTGAAATTCTAATCAATTCTTATGAATTGATTAGAATTTCCGTATTGTACTCTGGACCAATAACACTGTAAGTGTACAAGAAACATTTGTTTTCCTTAAAACTACTGAACCGATACCATTCAAATTCTAATTAATTCTTATTTTGACAACCTTTAGCCTATATATAAAATTTCATTACAAAATCATCGTTCCTTTTTGGTGTTCTTTTACTTTTGTATATTTTGTGAGCCCTAGAAATAAACTGTCAAAGTTTAAATTTAATCTTCACATTTTGCTGAGGGAATTTAAACATGTAAACTGTACTTTAACTTGAATATATCTCAATATATTTTGAAGTATGAAATTGTATTTAGTACATACATAAAACCTGTGACTACACCACAGCCTCTGACCATAACCTCACTTCTAGACACAGACTTCTAGACTTCTAGACTTCAAGGTGCTTCAAGTTTGATATTTGTTGGTTGTTTGTACTGTACTTCACAGAACGTCTTTAGTTCAACTTCGACACCATAGAATAGTAAAGAGTAGAATTCTGTGCATGGTGTCAAATATCGTTTCCCATTTTTTTATTGAATAATTTTATTTAAAACAACAAGCAAAACTTAAACACACGTTTAAGTGACTTTTTGGGATTCGTATGGATTTAAGTTTAACCTTCGGATTACCAAGAGATTTTAATGGCTTCGATTACCACGCGAGGTCAAAATTGACCCCAGCTTTTTTTTAATGATGGAAAAAACAAGTTGTTGACAATTTATTTCTCAAGCTGAATTCATTTTTCAGCAAAAATAATATTTGTTTGCTATGTTGTTTATTATAAAACAAAATCACGGTGGTAGAAGTAAGGTGTGGAAACCTCATTCATAACTTTCCTCAAAATCATTGGTAGAAAACACAAATCGCGTGGTTTGGATTATATGTCATTATCTGTCCACACCGCAGCGACGTCTAGAGAGATCAGTTGAAATTAAGTAATAGAAAACTGTATTAAATCTTTGACCACGACCTTCTCTATTAACTAGTTAATAGAGAAGGTCGTGCTTTGACATTTATGCCAATGTCATTTATTACAATCACAAATGTCGAATCATCCACCAATCACACGATTCACACCAAAGACCAACCACAAACCGTAGTGCTGTGATTTATTTTCCCTCCAACGAATCTGTCACTTATTTCATTCATAAATACACTGAGAAGTTGAAATGTTAATACATAGATGGACATACTGTGCTGCATACTATTTCGTAGTAAATAAGCCTACTGGGATGCGTGTTTTATTCAACAAATTGGAGCGGCTTGTTTCCACACCTTACTTCTACCACCGTGAACAAAATTGTTGAAGCATTAGGTTGTCTTTTATTTGGTGCAGTTGTTACAAGTGATTGTACATTTTTTTTTTGCAAATGTTGCTTACATACAAATTGTTTACATATTTCACATGCCGTCCTCGTCAAAGGCAATAATCAAAACACAAGCATTATATATTATTTTGTAGTTAATTAATTGTTGTCAAACGTGTTTGGGTTGGCTTTCAAGGAACTGATATATTTCATCCGGTCCCATCACCATCAGGATAAACAAGGGTCCTATTCTCCGATCCATATGTTATAGTTATACCCTCCGCTCCGTCAATTAATGACAGAGAAAAAGCATTGAAAAAGTTACTGCACAAATTTTAATTTTTACAAAATGTGTAGACCTGCACAGCAATTTACGCCCGGATAGCGAGGGTGAATATGAAGTGATCAAATAGACAAACCTATCGAAACACACGTAACGATAATAATGTACACACAATTCTGCATGAATAATATGTATTATTTTAAAAACGCAAATATATGTATAAAATATATAAGTCAATTTTATGGTATGAATTACCAAGTGGGGTTAAAATTGACCACAACTCGCAAATATTTTTTTTTTTTTTTGGAGATGACACAAATTACTACAATAATAGTAGATTATGATATTAGGATTAAAAGTGCAACATTTTTTGACGAGTCATTGATTGGATTTGCGAGGCGAAACAATCAATTGGGAGGCAAAAAATGTCACTTTAATCCGAATAACATATGCTATTTTTTCTCCAACCGAGATAAAAAATTTTGGAATCGGGAAGTTTAGCTCTGGTCGCTCGGTTAGAATTAAATTGAATAATAAAACAAGTAGCCAGCACAGATGTAGTTGTAAAGTGAACAAACCATCAATTTTACTATAAAAAGTAGGTAAACAGTGGTTCGTCTAGTTTTCTTAAAATTCTGGAAACATTATTTTTTAGTATATGTTTAGGGCTTTTTATAAAGAAAAACATAAAATTTGCAGATCCATTTTTTTTTTAAATTTACCTAAGGAGCCGGATTTGTATAAATAATTGTTCTTTAAGAACAAGGGAACTTCTGTCTAAATAACTGAATTTAAAAATAGTATGTTTACAAGCTCCTCTTGTATGTACATTTTTATTAAGCTAATTCCAGATTGATTATTATTGTACCGTTTAAAACTAAATGAAACTCAAACATTTCATCATATTTTAATAAAAACAAACAACATTTATAAAATTTAAATTTAAAGAACATCACTGGTACATCAACACAATAAAATCGAATACATTTTGTTTATTTAGTGTGATTAAGTAGATTATACATTGTAATTGACTAGGTCCATTTTAAGTTTATTATTTTTTATTTTATGTAATATTCTAGGAAAGTAAACCCTGGTTACTGTTCATTACAAATTCTAAAATATATTTTTAACAAAATCGATAACAATTATTAATGATATAACAACATGAACGAAACAGTAGAACCAGTAACAAATTAACAAATGCATTTTATACAAGTAATCATTTTATAGTATAATGTTTGTGATTATAAAAATACGTAAGTCCTAAAAATTAGATCCAAATCTTTTGCTTTTAGAAATACTGAGCTAGATTTTTACTAATTACTAAATTAAAGTATCATCATATCACAGTTGAAGAAAACTAATTTTCAAGATATACACATTTTTGTAAAGCCACGGAAGGTGCTGTCCAAATTAATTATTTCCTTTTGCTATACAAGTATCCGAATTATCTCTAATAGGCTTTAACATGTTTAACTCATAGAAAATAATGAATTATTGAGCACCTTCTTATTACCACAAAAGACAAAACGATTGTTGGTCGCACATAAGTTAGTCTCAGTGGATCTAAATGACCTGATTATTTAAATGTGTGAACAAAAATCGAAAAATCTCAATAAAATTAAAACTTAGAGAGGATGGATCAACTTTTTTGAGCGTCAAGCAATTGTTGCTTTTGTTTTACCGTTTTTTGCGATATTTTTTACATTTAACTGAATTCTGTCTTCGTACTTAATTCTTTAAGTTTATTTTTTTATCGAGCTTATTAATTATTATTGATCAGAAATTTATTAGAGTTCTAGGCTGATTAGATTTCTAGAGTTAAAATAATTTTTAATCACTTTAAACATTAAGTTAATTAACATTATCCGCTGTTAAAAATGTAAACCAATAGTAGCTTTTGAATTTTTTCAAACATGAATTAGATTATTATTTACTGTCCACTTTTTTGGCCGTGATTAAATTAATTTAATTAGTGAAATTTAACTAACAAATAGTAGTCTCGAAGGGAAATTAGGATTTTATGTTAATCAAAAACATTGGTAAATTTGATTAGAAGAGAGTGATTTGAGTTTCTTCAAAGTCACAAGTGTACACTGAATTAGACTTTGAATTGTTAAAATAAATATATTCTCTTGGTTAACTATTTCATAAATGTTAAAGTTCAAAATATCTTAAAATCAAGAGTGTATAAAAGATTTTTGAAACAAATTTCAAATTTGGATACAATTTTTGATAATAAGTAATGAATAAAGACATGATATTAATGGTAAAGTTTTTATTATTGAGTATGGGTTTTTATTTAGCATTTCAAAAAATTGTTTATTATATAACATATGTTTTAAAAGTTGCCGGTTGAATTTTCGCTTGTTGATGGTTTTATAATAATAATAATTTATTAACAAAATATACAGTTTTACAAATTTTTCTGATATAAAATATGTTGTATCTTTTACTTTTTTGTGTACGTTGGCAGTAACTTGGTACATACCTACGCTAAGAAATAGTCAATGCTCTTCCTGGTATTAAGTTGTGAATAAATTTGTATATACAAAATTGGTATGTATGTATAGTGAAAATTTCATTTCAATAAGAACGCAAAGATAATTTTTAATTTTGTCTCTTATTAAGAATTATATTAATATCGAAAAAAATACAAGTGATTCCAGTCAAAATGATATGGCATACATGTTTGAGATTTTTCGATTTATTTCGTTTTACGACTAATGATTATTATTAGAAATTGTAAATTAATATAACTGATGAGTATTACATTCTTATATTATTTCATATTATTTTGAGAAGCTATTACAGACATTAAATATCGTATTTGACCTAATTATGAGAACTGTACTTAGTTGTTAACAAAACCAGGACGCTAAAAATATTTTTCATTTTAATAGTACAAACTACCTGTAGTTGCGTCTCATTTCATGAGAGAAGATGAAGTATCTACGTGAGAATAAAACAAGAACATTAACGTCTAAATTTATCACTTCATGTATTTAAAAATGTCTAAAAGCGCACATTTCCCCTTCTAGCTTATTAGTAAAATTTATATCAACACTAAATTTACTCTTGTTATAAATCAGATCCACTGAGAATACAAACAGAATTCACAATTCTGAAACTATAACATTCACTTAAATAAAATATAAACACCCAATAGTCAGTATTCTTAATAATTCCATTTATTTTAATGATTGTTATGCTTGATTCGACTCCACACAGTTTCATAGTTTATGCCATTCTGAGTGTGCTAGGGGAAGGTGAGCAAGAATGGATCACTCTGTGGGTGGGCGATCCGGGCTTTCCAGTCGATAAAGCAGGTGTCGGATGTCTGGTACGGACGTGACGTCACAACGGATACAGTTCATGTTGACCTACTGAAGAGTAAGTAACACCACTCGGAGCGCTTTCGACCACGTGGGAGTTAAAATATTGCTGAAAGAATATAGTCCTACGTCAGTCGTAATCGTGGCATAGTAAAAACGAACAAAAAGGGAAAAAGGCCACTGACACGTTTTTATCTGTCTTGTGTCAGTGAACCACGAAATCTGGACACGTCAAGACATAAATAATACGGGGTGTTTTGAAGTGTGAGGATAGATACAGATACACATAAGTTGCAAGCCTAGTTGTTCAAATAGTTGACAGGACGAGATAAAAGAAAATATATCGCGGAGTCTCGGCCGGAGGCAAGCGTATCGGATTACCACATCATCTAAAGCCGTTTTAATACGAACCAAAATAGAACGGACTTGTAATTTATTTGCTTATTTGCGGGTTGTTAAAACTACCTACACCATAATTTTCTTTTTTTTTTGTACTGTGAGACGAGGCTTCGCAGTCGGGTCTCTATAGATTCTAAGGAGCGTAATTTTATGAACCGGAGATGATATTCTTACGTAACTGTTACTCTGACGTTCATAAAATATTATTTCTCCATTATCTTTTATTTATGTGCTAGTTTGTGCACTTAAACTTGAAATAAACCAAAAGTTTATCTTTTTTTTTTTGGTTAAAACGTAGTTAATTAAACTGTACAGTTTCTTCCTTGTCAGTGAGGGATGGATGATATTATTTAAGATAACTGATAAGTGATAAACTTTTAAAAATTCTCTCAGTACAGGCGTACTAGCCATTAAAGAAAGTAAATCTTGTTGTTTGTTCCATTATTTCTTTATTTATTTTAAACGGATGAAACACAAAAACAGAGCCCGTAGCAAAACTGAAAATACTTCCATGTACAGAATGTTGCTGTTAAGCCAGTCATGTATAGTCATGTTTTTAACTGGATGTTTGTGTAGTGTGTTACATATATATAATATATTTATAAAAAATATTGTTATTCCTAAAAATTATTGTTGCTGAAAATTTTGCAAATAAAATAACAAGAGTACATAAATTTTAACGATAAGCTTAACCCATTATTAATCTTACATTGGATGACGTGGGTAGGTATACGGTCGTAATTTTATTGAACAGAACCCTATATATTATCCCCGTTTCCTTTACTTTTTCTTTTTTTATTGACACACAATTAAACTTTATGGTTATGGTGACATTTTATTTTTCTAAAAAAAATAATAACATTTTGATTTTTTTTTTGGTAAAATTATTTTACGGGCAAAATGTTATCTAAAATAAATTAGTATCCCGGCGCATTCGCCATTTTAAGAACGTCTTTCATGTGAACTTTAATTTTAATTTCTTTGAAATTAAGTAATACTAATAAATCTTTCGCATAACTGTTAAACATATTTTTTATGTATACTTTAATAATATATTTCGCAAAATTTGTAATAGAAATGAGTCGGAACAGATAATTTGTGGTACTATTAACATAAATCACTTTTTCTTTTTCATTTAGGTGACACAAAACTGCAGATTGAAGGAATATCCATCTCTAGGTGACGTGACCCAACTCTATAAATCATGTAAGTCGATTTATCCTCTAAATTTATGTGCAACTTAATTGAAAAAAGTGAGACACTGTCAAGCAAGTAATTCCAAACGCGTTCGGAATAAGTCTGGGGATTGCTTACAAATTGTCCGACCTGACCAAAGGTGACAAAAATTATAGCTCTTTCTAGTCGGAACAATGAAAAAGCTCTAACACTGCAGTGGTTATTATGCCATGAATTTATCTCAAAAACTCTTTAGAGAGTTGAACTCGTCCGTACGTGTTCTTGGTGCAGATGCATAAAATAAAATAAAGCTCGGACGATATCAGAATATATGGATATAGATGCAAGAAAAAAATCTTAAATAATGCGGCATTTTTCGCGCAGAAACAAATAGGCTTGCTGTTAAGAAAGACAAAGTATGCATAAAATTCCACTCGAGTGAACTTGGCGCGTATTTAACGACTTCTATTTTTTTGACAAGGATATGAGAAGAAAATCCTTGATTCCCACCCCGACCGCAATTAGTTAGAACAACAATGTTTTATTCATGACTCGTCTTACTCTTAATCTAATTACTAGGATTAAATCTGCGGAATTTTCGGCATACTTAGTTCTAATAACACAGGAGTAGTTAATAATGTAGATCAACAGTTGTATTCTTAATCGATCTGACAAACACATAATCGAGGATTTGCATGCGTACTAAATTCTTGTCAACATTCTATTCACATCAAACTACTGAATGTAAACACATCATGAGCTCAGTTTTATACATGAAATGTGTGGTGTTGTGTGATCTTAGGCACACGAAACGGTGTAGGTGTGTGCTGTATGATGTCAATACAGGGTGATTTTTGCCTCACGTGTAGAAAAATCTTGTTCGTGTTGTAACGACGTCTGGGTGGTATTTCAGTTTTTTTTTAATTCACCACGAAAAAACTGCGCAATTATGTTTTTATGAGGCTGGATTCCAAGCCAAAGATTGTTTTATCGACAAAAACAGATGTCGCTTCTTTTAAAATGTCAAAGACGTCGGTTTCAGGAGAGTAATTGATCAAATATGCAAGGAATGTCGCCAGATCATTTACTGTACTGACTTTTTAATCAAGTCACGAGACGTAGAAAGTTTAAGCTTGAACAATTTGAGATAAAGAATGTTGTTTAATTTAACCTTTTCATTAAGTACACTGATAAAATACAAATTATTTAAATATTTGGTGTATAACTTTTGAAACAGATTTACGTAACCAGTGTTTGACATGGTAAAAGAATCGAAAAAATGAATTAAAATAACTTTGCAGTTAAATAGCAGAAGTAATATTACAGAGGAGAATGAAAAAGCGTACATTTTAGATGAAATGAAGAAACAGTAAAAGGTAAAAATAGATCTTCTACGGATTTGCTTAGACAATTGTTTCATTGAATATTGTTTAAAATAGAGTACAAAATTTACGCTTATAGAGGATATCAGAATTGTTTCGATGGGAGGTATATCTCTTCTGTTTTATTTATTCTATTCAACTGATTTTATTGATTCAACTGAGTAACCACAGTAATAAATTATATTACAAAAGTATTTTTTACAAGTCGCGAATAAAATATTATAACTACGAACGATAAATCAGAATGGCGTGTATATATATTTACAGTGCTCTTACTATTTACAGATCTCACCAAACTTACTAGTTTTATACAAATTATAATTTTTCGTGGTTAATAATGAAAGAAATGTCTATAATCGAAGTCTAGTTTGTACCTATAGTGTGGACTGTTTTGATAAAATAAATTTTCTGTATAAGTATGTAGTAGTTTACAATTTTGATACAAGCTTAGGAATTGCTGATCTTAAAAAATAATTATTTCTTAGATTTGTAAATTTTGTTTACAAATTCACAGCGTTAATTAATATAATATTTTCAAAAACCGTAGTAGAAATTTCAAGATGAAAGTATGAATACGTTATACTAAAAAAAAGAATAAAAAAGGTAAAGTATCAAATCCATAAACACTAGATCGCAAACACAAAACAAAGTCCTCATGTGTAAAACAGAAAACTAAGATGAACTAACGACAACAACAGATAAATCAATAAATGTATAATGAAAATGAGGTTGCGAAAATATCGTTTTTGCATATTGTCGTCTTTCAAACCGTAGCATCACTGATGTATACAATGCGTTTCATTCCTATTGTTCGTTCAAAATTGTTTCAAAATCATTATCTGCATGGAAACAAAGGGTACGACATAGAATGTAAAAAATTTAACAGTTCAGAGATATTATAAACTTAACTCGATAATTTTGTTATGAAAGCAGTTTATTGTAAAAGAAATAATGCGATTTACATAATAAAAAGTAAGCTAATTAGTTTGTCTTTTCTCGTAACACTGGGCTGTGTTATTTCACACAGCAAAGAACGAATTAAGATCAGAATCATAAATTACCATTTTTTACTGCATTTTAGTCTAGAAGCTAAGGTTTTTAAAAATATTTAGTTCTGTTAACGCACGACTAAACTCATCTAGAATATTCTGAACTGCACTTAATACAAATAAAATTTGTTTAAATAAAAATTTATTACAACTGATAGTTAATTTTTAATAAATTACGTTTCAGCATTAGTTGAGTAATCGTGTAGATATTGTTGCTTCTCACTGACAAATTACTAAATGTAAAGACAGTTGTAAATTTATTATTTAGGCTTTTTTGGCGAAATATGTCTTTTAATAATACATTTTTTCATTTTGCAATTCATATTTTAATTATTTTTGAATTCATGTAGGAAGATTAGTGACGAATTCATTTTTTTTATGTTCCACAAAAAATTCCAGCGTTTCACTGGAAAATTGTATTATATAAAATTTTTACCGACGAATACAAGTGGCAAAAAAATAATTAAATAGCCTAAAGTACGATTTACTGGATAAGTTTTACATCAAATTAAAAAAATAAGTCGTAATTGTTTTCAATTCATACGAGTTCATAGTCGTAAAAAACAAATGACTATTCGAATCTTAGTTGATGATGAATTTGTAATTCACTTCTAAAAAAAGGGCTGTTTTACACGTCACAAAATTATTCTGAAAATTATTACCAAAATTTATGGTAGAAATTTTGCAAGAAGAATAGTTTATACCTTGATGGTAAAGTGCGCAAGAAATTGCGCAGATGTTCAAAACCTAAACAAATGGTCATATTCATGCTCTTTCAACAGTTTTCACCAATGTAATTTGACATAGACATCAATCACATTGTGTCTACTTTGTAAACAGTAATTATTATTCTTTTTCGCTAATATTTAGTGGTAATTTTTTCCGACACTAGGACTAAATAACATTCTACTTTCTGTTAATTCTTTTAATTGTGCGACGTTTCGGAGACAGCCGTCGCCATTATCGAGATTTATTTTTCGAAAATTTAACTACATTATTCTAAATTTAAAGTTGAAAAATAATTTTATTCGCCCCTGTTTGACGTGTGTGGTTTCGCACAATTAAAAGAATTAAAAGAAAAAAGAGTGTTATTTAGTCCTAAT